AAATAAAAAATAAGCAAAAAAACCCAAGAAATGTGAAATTGAGTGATAGACCTAAGTTTTTCAATTCTATATCCTCTAAAATGCTTCCTGAATAGATGAAAAAAATTAAAGCCAAACATAAAATTATCCAGTTAACAGAGACTCATAGAAAACTTAAACCAAAACAGAACTGCCTCCCGAGGCTTCTGAGACTATAAATCTTTTGTAGATTCAAAGTGCTGACTTTGTGGTTACCAGCTGAGCTCTTTAACTGCACCCAGACTCCTTGTTGAATTATTCATCTCACTGCCATCGAGTAGGAACTGGCTCATAACTGCCCTTTCCCTTGGGTTTCCAACACTACACATCATATCAGAGACTGCCCAGCTTTCTTCTGTTGAGCCGCTATGAAGTCCAAGTACCAGAGAGGTTTACAGCCGTTAGGTTAGCAAAGTAACTCCTTATGAACTATGCCACCAGAGTTCCAGACTGAATTAGCCAGGAAACATTTTCGTTTAAGACTCTCAATAGAACATACAAGAACTTGCGAAAATAATGGTCAAATTTTGTACTTCACTTGAATGTGATGCATTACACATTTTAAGATTAAAATATTGTTTTAAATTGCTCTTGAGCTGATTTTACCTCATCGTGACCCCAAGCATGCCAAAGAAGTGTTCTCTGTAGGGTTTTTCTTTTTTTTTTTTAAAACAAGATTGTGAGTCTTTCTCTCAAATATCTCTGGGTGGACTCCAAGAGCCAACCTTTTGGTACCATCAGGCTCTATCTTTGGGTGGTTGTAGCTGCCTCAGTATAGTAAGCAACATGTGATTTTGCAACTTACTTCTGTGAGAGAACATTTATTTTTGTGGTCCAGAAGATGAATGAGTAGAACCCATAATTCTTTAATGCATGAACATGGGCAATGGTGATTTATTAATGCCTCTGAAGGTCTAACCTGTGGTAAAGAATTAAAGTGAGTTATTCACAAGAGACAGCAAACACATCTCTTTCAAAATGTTTTTAAAGAATTATATGGTTGACAAAATTTATGCTAAATTACACAAAGCTGTTTTATGTTTTTAAAAAAGTTATTACTTTATAATCTTTAAAGATAAATTTCTACTTTATATTTTAAAGCACAGACTAAGTTTTACTTTCAAGTTCAGAAACATTTCTGCGTTAATCATCTTATCCACTGCTTAGTAAACTCCTGTAAAGGGCTAGATACTTTGTGGGTCTAACATTCTATCATAACTTCTAACATTCTACCATAACTTCTAAGCTGATATCACTAACAGCAGTAATTTACAGAAACACGTAAACTTACGGGCAGTACTACTGTTACAATGAAAATGGGTAATAATCTGGATTTGGTTTGAAGAGTATGGTTTGCTGGCATCTAACACAATAAAAAGATATGTGATGGAAAGATTATGAAATAATTTTACTATGAAAGCAGAAAAAGGCATAAGACAGAATATATATAAATATTATAAGATTAAAAGGGTTAAACAATTTCTAAATTATTTACCAGTATTATACCAAAATATCAGAAATAATGGTGCCCTGCTTAAATATGGCAAACATATCATCATTAAAATATGTCACTCTCTTCACATCTGGAAATAGTCCAATCTCTTGCCTCACACTCCTAAGTCGGCTCTCTATACCTCTGCTGAGTCTCTCATCTCAGCACCTCTACAAAAACTTTTTCCCATTCCAGGTTTTGCTTTACTTAATCAAATTTTATTCATTTGCTGGCCATGACTCAACTAGTTCAAACTGGTTCAAAGCCATGATACTGTGGTACTTTTAAAACATTAACTTAACTATATCAAACAACATATAAGTGCATTTTAGTGAAAATAGCTATTTTCCTTCATGATTCAAATTACTGTATGAACATAAGCAAACAAAATTTGCTCTCAATATTTCTCAACTGGCATTAGTTAAATACAAATTTATTATGTAAGAGTAAAAAAATACGTCATCAGAGACCTAGACACTTGCATTAAGAGGAGATGAAACTTCAACAAAAACCACAAAACATTTATTTTTCTGACAACTTGACAAAGGCTTTATAAAAAAATTTAAACAGCTCTAAGATAGTAATTCTGGCTCATTTTAAAACAAAATTCTTTTCTCATTCAGCTCAGAAATAATAGCAGATAAATATAAAAATTAGAAAGAGTAAGAAGCCAGTTGTACAGATAAATCATATGAATTAAAGACTGACTACTAACATATTTCAAAAACACACATGAAATCTTAAAATATTACCTTGTCATACCTGTTGAGTGATAGACTTATTAAATCACAAAGGAGACTTTCACAATGTTCTTCAAATAGGCTGACATTGGTTAAATTGTCACCTGCCAGAGTCATAAACTGATGACCATATACCACATACTCTGAAAATGTAATAAAGATCAAATTAATTCAGAAAGAGAAAACGAACTGCATATTCTTAATTAACTTAATTAAAGAAAACTTCAATATACATAATTACTTATAAATAAAAGTGAAATCTGAAGAAAGACAATTTCTTTTTCACATGCTCTTGATAAATATACCTTTGCAAACTTCTCGATTCTTTGAAATATCTTTTAGTAGACTTTTCTTAATGTGGCTATTTTTAAGAATATCTATACAAATTACTTAATATTAGCCGATATATGCTCACCCATGCTTATTGCTACACTGTTCACAATAACAAAGATTTGGAAACCACCCATGAATGGATAGAGAAGCTGTGGTATATGCATACAATGGAATACTATGCTGCATTGAAAACCAAGGAACTCATGCAATATTCAAAATGGATGACCCTGGAGGATGCTGTGCTGAGTGAAATGTCTCAGTCACAAAAGGACAAATACGGCATAGTGTCACTGTTGTAAAATGGGACTGACATTGGGGTTGGGGGAACTTAAAAAAGGGGCAGATACATAATGTATACTGTATTGAAACAGATGAGGGAGAGAAGTGTTCAAAACGGATATATGATTAGGTATTATTGTCATGACAGGAGTCCAGAATAAAGACTGTATAGTGGATTAGACTTGGGATGGGGGGGAGGATTGTATAACAATGAAATAATTTTTCTTTTACTTTTCAAAGAGAATAGCGAACTGTGGGGGGTGGGGGGTGGGCAGGGAGAAAAGTGCAACAATGAACGAATAGAAATCCAAAGTCTCTCTTAACTTTCATTAAAATTAATTTAAAAAAATGACATCTTAATTATAAAAAAAACCAAACACCAAATAAATTACTTAAAATTAAATCCTCAGTATTACTGCCATCAGAATTGAGTCATAGCTGATCTTCCAGTAGGTTAAGGGAGGAAATCAGATATGTATATTCTCATGTTTATCTATATGTAAGTGAATGCATACTTATATGCATACATAGTATGTATAAATTCAGTTAAAAACAAGTAATAAATATCATCACAGTCTAAGTAATAAAATTCTTTATAATCCTTTCAGAATGCTAAAGGTGCTTTAACATATCAAACAGCAAACATAAAATGTTTCGAGTATTCATCTCATCGCCGTTGAGTCAAAATCAATCATGCTTACCCTCTAGTGCATTTCAGGGGCTGTAAACCATATGGGGGAAGAATGCCCAACTTTCTCCTATGGAGCAATCAATCGGTGGATCCAAAACACAAGAGAGGCACCACCTTTGCGTTAGCAACACAACTCCCTACAGACGATGCCACCAGAGCTCTCAAAGAAAGAACTATCCACAACAACCAAGGATCTCTGGTGGCACAGTCTGTGCAGAGTTGTGCTGCTAGCCTAAAGGCAGCTCGTTCAAATCCACCAGCAAAAATTAAGGTTTTTTTAATTATTAAAAATTATTTAACTTTTTTAAATTATTAAAAAATTCTTTAATCCTTGAAGTTTTTAAAATTAAGTTAACTAAGAATATGCAGAAAGATGGTCAATCTCTTCTTATGTGGTTAATAACTCCTGAAAACCCACTCTCTGGCCAGCTATGAGACAGCTCTAACTCGAAAGAAATGAGTAATATACATAGAGTTCCTTGTAATTAACAAAGAAAACAACATAACTTAAAAATTTACAGAAGATATAAAGAAATAATAAAATAAATACACATGGACAATAATGTTATATAAAGATGTTCAACTTAACTTGCAATGTACAAAAGAGATTCAGTATCATTCTCCACTACTGGCAAGCAAAAATGAAAATAATTGATACTATGTATTATTGGCAAGAGTGAGATGGAAAGGCACATACATTCACAGGGTATACGCAGCTGACTCTTGAACAAAATGAGTTTGAACAGCTTGGGTCCCCTTATAAGAGGATTAAAAAACAAAATCACAAAACCTCATTTATAATCTCTTCAGGAGCATTTTCTCTTGCTAGTAAACTACCTATCATAGTAAAAAAAATTATCTCTCATGGTTTTCGGGTATATTTCATCATGTTTAGTGCAATACCATAAACCAAGAAGTGCCATGAGTGATATTAGAAGTGCTTTCAAGAAGCAGAGAAAAGTCATGACATTACAAGAAAAAGCTGAATTACTTGAAAAGTACCATAGATTGAGGTCTGCAACTGCAGTTACCCGACATTTCAAGATAAATGAATCCAAATAAGAACCATTATAAGGAGGGGGAAGAAAGAAAATTTGTGAAGCCATCACTGCAGCTATGCAAGCCAGCTTGAAAACTTTGCATTTTTTTTTGGTGAAATACCTTATCATGTTATACTGAAACACAGCTTTAATTATGATGCAATTTATAACATACATAATATATAAAATATGTAAGGCTTCTAGTGTCAGCAGGCTATTAGCAGTTATGTTCTGGGGAATGAAGTTTTTACTACGTAAGACAGTTGTCAAAACCCTCACAATTCTCAAGAGTCAACTGTGATGGCATAGTGTGCTAATCAAAGACCTGGTTGTTCGCACCCACCAGCTTCTCCACAGGAAAAAAGATGGGCAGTTTCTTCCTGTAAAGATGTAGTCTTGGAAACAGAACAGACAGTCACTGTCAATCTGACTCAACTACATGGCAGTGGGTTTGGCTTTTGGTTAACAGATAACAAAAGCAGTATACACAACATTAAAAACTCTACCCTCTCCTGCTATATTTAAGAGCCCATTTTCTAGAACATTTTCTACCTGTATTTGAGAATACACACACACACACACACACACACACACACACACACACACACACGCACATACATAAAAGTTCACTCCATGGCATATATATTAATCTAAACCATCACACTCATTGCTAATAAGTCAACTCTGAGTCATCATGACCCTACAGAAACAACCAGAACTTCCCCAAGGATTTGTAAGGCTACAAACTTTAGAGAAGCAGACTACCACTTCTTTCTCCCATGAAACGGCTAGCGCATTTGAACCTCTGACCTTTTAGTTAGCAGCTGAACAATTAACCTCTACTAGGGCTGCTTAAAAAGTTGACAAGCTAGAACAGATTGTGATAGATTCAGAACGCTAAGTCTTAAAACTAATTTAGTTGAACTATGTGTGAACAGCCACATAGAAGAGCAAAATACAATTAGAGTAAAATAAAAAAATTCAACTTCATATATTTCCATATAAGACACCAGAGCTCTATAATCTATATACACGAATATACAAAAAATGACTTGAAAGATGATCAGACCAAACATACAAAAAAATATGACTAGAAAGATTAATAGATCAAGCTGTTCCCAGTATTTATTTCTGGGAAAAGAAATTAAAATTTTCACTTTTTACTGTGGTTAATACATGAGTTTGTTTGTTTGTTTGCTTGTTTGTTTTCTAACAGTCAGAAGGCATGCATAATTTTAGAAAACAATGAAGTAAAAACTTTGCTTATAAAAGAAAATAAATAAGTCATTCACAAAAGGAAACGTATTATTTAGGCTTGCACACAGAGAAAATGATTCCAGAAATGTTTCCAGAAATGGGAAGGGAGGAAAGAAGAATAATTAATAAATAGACAATAGGTACACATTAAAGTGTATAAAAAAAAAGGTAATATCCAACAATGAATGATCAGCACAATATCACTAAAGAAAAAGAAGTTACAGAATTATAGAAGGATTACTGGAAATCAGATTTAAAGGGAGGTAGTGGGGAATTGGCAATTACATTGTGAATACTGAAAATCATGTTACAGAACAAAATATGTATAAATAATTGAATGAAACTAATTTTGGTTTTGAATCTTCACTCAAATCATAATGAAATAATTTGTTTTTTAAAAAAAGCATTCAAACTTACTTAATTTTTCTCCCAAAATATGAAGAATTTCTAGCACCAGCCAATGGACATCTAAGTGGAGATGTAATAAATGCCATGATGGTGGAAAGAGCTGTGAATGACATTATCAAATAAGATTGAGAATTCATAATATTTTACTAGGGTTTGCATAGTATGTCACAACATTCTTATATCAGTAAAAAGATAAAGAGCCAATTAACTTACTTCTTGTTGTTATGTGACATCGAATCACCTGCAACTCACAGCGACTATTTACAATAGCTATGAAGCCTGCCCTGTCCTGAGTCAGTCTGACTCTGACCCACCTACTTTCATTGCCCTGATTTCTGTATCAATTGATCTAATCCGGGGTCTTCCTCTCCTGTGTTGTCCATCCTCCCTTCTGGACATGACCTTCTCCAAGGATCGGTCCCTTTTGGTCACATGTTCAAAGTATGTGAAACAGAGCTTCAAAATCCTCACCTCCAAGGAGAAACTTGCTTTCACCCTCTCCAAGACAGGCCTATTTGTTTTCTTGGTGGCCTATCCTATGTTCAAGACTCTTCTCCAACACCACAACTCAAAGGCATCAATTATTCTTCTGTCATCCTTAGTCATTATCCAGCTCTCTGATGCATAGCAAATAATTACAAAGATCATGGCCTAGATCAGGTATACCTTAGCCTCTAGATTGACATTTGTTGCTTCTCAGTACTCTGGATAGGTCTCTAAAAGCAAATTTACCTAATGCAATGTGTCTTTTGATTTCCTGACTGCTGTGGCAAGAGTGTTGGTTGTGGAGCTGAGCAAATTGTAACTGTTAACAACCTCAACCTCTTTTCCATCCATCATGGTGCTGCCAATTGGCAGTAGTGAGATTTTTTGTCTTCTTGATGTTGAATTTCAATTCATATTGATACAGTCCTTGACCTTCTGCAGCAAACACTTTACTCCTCAGTTTCAGCAAGCAAGGTTATATCATCTGCATAACATATGCTGTTGAAGAGTCTTTCTCCAATCCTGATGCCACAGTCCTCCTCATAAAGCCCTGCTTCCAAATGATCTGTTTTGCATACAGATTGAAAAGGTTCAGGGACAGGATGCATCACTGATGCGGTCCTTTCTTGATTTTTGAACTATGCAGCGTTTCCCTGCTCTGTTCTGGGGACTGCTTCCTGGTCTAAGTACAGGTTTCACAAAAGCACAATCAAGTACTCTGGGATTCCCATTCTCCTCAAGGTTAACCATAATTTGTTATGATCAACACTGTCAAATGTCTCTGAACAGTCAAAGAGACACAGACAGATATTCCTCTGGTACTCTCTATGCTTTCTGCCAAGATCCATCTGACATTGGTGATTATGTCTCTAGTAACACAGCCTCTTCCAAATTCAGCTTGTATTTCTGGTAGGTCTCTGTCAATGTACTGTTTCTGTTGTTTCTGTATAATCTTTAGCAGGAGTTTGTTTGCTTCTGGTAGTAGTGATATTGTTCGGTAATTATCACACTCTGTGGGGTCAACTTTTTTGGAATGGAAATAAATATAGATCTCTTCCAGTCAGTTGGTCAGGTAGTTGTCTTCTAGGTTTCTTGGCACAACCTGATGAGCAAGTCCAGGGCAGTATCTGTTTGATGAAATATGTACACTGGTATTACATCAATTCCTGGGGCTTTTTCCCCCCCAAGTCCATCAGAGCAGCCTGCACTTCCTCTATCACTATTGCCTCTAGATCATATACTGTTTCTTGAAATTCTTCTGTGTCAGCCAATTCTTTTTGGTACAGTGACTCTATATATTCCTTTTCATCTTCAATACTTCCTAGATCATCCAATATTCTACTCATAGCATCCTTGCAGCTTGAATCTGTTCTTCAGTTCCTTCAGCTTAAGAAATGCCAAGCAAATTCGGCCCTTTTGATTTTTGGACTCCAGTTCTTTGCACATTTCATTATAATACTTTGCTTTGTCTTCCCATGCTGAAATCTGAAATCTTCTATTCAGCCCCTTAACTTTTGATTTCTTCCCTTTGCTTTGACTTCTCGGAGCCCTAGTGCAATATTCAGAATTTCTTTTGATATCCATTTTGGTCTTTTCTTCCCTTTCTGCTTTTGCCTTCTTCATGGATGATATTCTTGATCTCCTCCCACAGTTCATCTGGTCTTCGTTCATTAGTGTTCAAGGCCTCAAACCTGTTACTGAGCTGGTTTTTAAACTCAGGTGAGACAGACTCAAGGTCAAATTTTGGTTCCTGTGGATTTGATTTGACCTTCTTTAGCTTTAATTTGAACTTGCATATGAGTAGTTGATAGTCTACTTAAAAGTTCATGAGAAACCTTTGCCTTGCTCATTAGAGGATTTTTCTTTCTACTGGAGATCTTTGAAAGTAAGATATATTTTCACCTGTTACTTTAAGACAGGCACAGTTTGGTTGAAGCAGCTGGACAGAATTCTATAGTAACAATTCCTTCCAACCAGTCCCTTATTCTACTAAACCTGCATGGCAGTAGATAAATTTTTAAAAATACTCATTTTCATTTAACACTTAGCCAGGATATTAATAAATTCCCAGAAATACCACAAAGCAATTATAAATTACCATATACAGAATATGCATATCTCAAAATAGGGGCTATCGATTTGAAACAGGTTCACAGCTGACCTTCCAGTTGGTTTTCTGAAGCTGGAAATTACATGACAAAGACTGTCTCTTTCTCCCTCCAAGAAGCTGATGGTTTGAAACCACCAGAGAGGTACCACTTTTGGGTTATCAGTACCAATTCCTACCCACTAGGCCACTAGAGTGTCATTACAATCACAAACTAGGTACTACTATTATTCCCCAAGAAACTGAAGTTAGGAAAGCTAAAAAGGAGCTCTGGTGGCCTAGTGGCAAGAATCTGCACTGCAATACCAAAGACACCTGGTTTGAATCCACCAGATGCTCCACTGGAGTAGGAGGGACAATCTCTTCCTGTGCCAGTCAGATCTGATTCGATGGTACACAACAAGAAAGGAGGGGGGGAAGAAAGCTAAAGATTTTTACTCCTCAATTAACCCAAGTCTCTGACTCAAAGCTAATGCTTTTAACTTCTGTACATGTACTGAATTATTAAAATCTCCTCTACTCAACAGTCAGCAACATTGCAAAAATAAATGCAAGAGCAAAACATAGTTTAAAGAACAAAAATAACAATGGATAAGGAACTTCCCTTATCAAACACACAAACAACAAAAAAGCGCCACACAGTAAAATGTATTGGCATTGAGAATAAATAATAAAGAAGACAGCAAAGAGAACTAGATAAAAATAGTATCTCAAATTATTACGGAAAGAATGGGTCACTCAATAAAAGACGGGATGAATAACTTAAGCTATTCATTAGAAAAAAAGGTTAGATTTCTCAGCTCAAAGATATGCTAAACAGATACAAACATATTAAACAAAAGCTCAGAGTATACAAAGGAAAAAATGGCAAATATAACCATGAAAAATTTCCCTCAAAAAAAAAAAAAAGAAAAATTTACCTCATCTACTTAGCAATTTCATTTAAATAGTGAAAAAGAAATGTATAATAGAAGAAAATATTTATATAATATCCTAAATAATATTTCTAATTTTGAAAATTGAAAATAATTAGTATGACAGTTGCTTGACTGAAACTATCAATTATAACAAGACCTTTCATAAGTAATACTGTTAAAATACAATAAATATTATAAAGTATAGGAAGGTGCTTCTGATTTTGTGGTGCTTCATATTTTGAACGATGTTTCTGTGTATTTCTGAAAAAAGCCAGTGCTTTAGTGTGTAGTTTTTATTTACTTACTGAAGACGATACATTTTTCTGCTTTAAAAATAAAAGATTCCTATTTCAAGCAAGCTATCTTCTCAAGTCTGATTAATTAAAAGGCCTATACCCAGCAAAGCCCATTGAGAGGACTCTTGCATACCTTCTTTATTTCTGTCATTGTTATTTTTATTTTCTTAAGTATTCAAGATACAGATGAATAGCTAGAACAAAGATCAAACTAAATTATGAAGGCCAGAATGGAAAAGGAAAACTATACTTCTACAGTCTACACATGAATTTCTATTGTGACATAATTAAAAACAATTATGCACTAGTTTTCTAAAGATTAGACACAACTTGTCTGTGAATTCAATTGGAAATTTACTACAATTTTATTACTTTACATATTCATTTCTGAGACACAGAATCACATGTTTTATTTCTTGTTAAATTTCACAGAGATAAACATCTAATTGTATCTTAAATGTTGGCAAAGACAGGGCCCTAAAATCTGAACATTATTCAAATTGATGAAGTCAAACATAATGGAAGAAATTAAAAGTGAAGGGACTACCACAGTGAATAGTTTTTTTTCTTTTTTATGTGTTTATATTTTCATATGAAGAATTTGTTAACTATAGCTATAGAGTATGCCATCTTAACACTTTTTTAAAAACCAAACTTTCAGGGAATGATGATTATGGATATGAAAAAAAAAAATAGCCAAAAAAATTCTAAATATATTCAAATAATGTGTCAAAAGTCAGAAGATACCTACTGTGGTTTTAAAGGTATACTTTCTCCTAGATGAACTTTTTGAATTTTTCTTTAATATAAACTACAGCTTGTTTAACTTTTACCAACGAAGAAGCTAATAAAGATTTTAGGAAAGAAAGGTTCGTGTATCGGCTTTGAAAATTTAAAACAATTATATTATCATGATCTTGCATAAAGAAGAGCTAAATTTATTTAAATTTATTTATTTAAATTTATTTAAATTCTCCCAACAGTCCAGTGGAGTTACAGGAAGGATACAGATAGGAAGAATGAAGTATAGAAATGCTACCTGCACAAAGACAGATAATTTATAAAAGAGGAAACTAGAATTTAACTCTAGTGGTCTGCTTCTACAGTTACATTCTTGGCTAATTTCTCTCATTTTCCAATAAATACTCCATATAGGAAGGGGAATGTCAATAATTTTCAAAGTAAAGAAAACAAGTCAAACCTTAATCTGGTTTTGATTTACAAATGCTCCTATGTTAATATTAGGAAGTTCAGACAGATGTCCAATATACAAAAGCAATCCATGAAGCTCATCAACCAGCAATGAGGGAAGCTGAGCTTCCAGAGTCTCATAGGGATGGACAGGAGCATGACTCTCAGTATTTTGTACTTTCAGGTACCTAAAAAAAAAACCAAACCACAATCAGGGTGAAAATACAGTTATAAAGTAATGCAATAACCAAAATATTCAGCTGACATCCTACCTGAAGATGAAAACTTTAATATAATGAAGAAACAGTACACACTGTTGCCTGATATTGTCTGCTTTATGATGAAGAACTGATATCTGCCCTACAACCAAAATAAGACAATGTTAATCACAGTTAAATAATTGATCAGTGCACAGTAATTTAAAAAAATATGCATACCATACTAGTAGCAACTGCCTCTTTTTCAACTGATTTCAATCTGATTGTTGCCCTCATCACTCCACAAAAAGTGCCCTTGCTAAGGTTGCCAATGAAACTCAAGTCGCCCAGTCTAACAAACACTGTCTGGTTTCAAATAACTTGCCCTTGTAGTAGCACTGTTGACACCTGAATTCAGAGACACCATGCATATTCTGTCCTCTTACTTCCTCATTTGCTTTTCTCATTTCTCTTCTCCCTCCTCCACTACACCTCATGGGCTCTCCTCAGGATTCAATCCTGGGTCCCTTCTTCATCTCTTCCTACAAGTATAATCTTATTAATTCATTTACTTCTAAACAATGACTCTAAAATATTTACCTCAATCTCAGATCTCTATTTTTCCCACCAGATCTTGCACGTCAAATTACCTAAATAATATGGATACTTATTGCTCAGACAATGGGAAAAAAATATACTCTTAATTACTCCCCAAAACCTGGTTATACTGCTCACATTTTCTCCATTCCATTAAACATGATTAACGTGAAAAAATGATTATATGTCATCAGTCACCTACATTTCACTCCTGATTCCTCTATTTCCTTTAACTGCATACATAATCCACCAGAATCCTATTAAGCTTACCTACAACTATCTACTGAAACTATCCACTTTTTCTATGTAGGCCCTAAAATATCTTGTCTGACCTTGAAGAACCTGCAACAGGATTCCTAACAGATTTCACCACTCCTTCCTTTGCTTTTTTATATCCTAAGTATATAGTTTGCTTAAGATGTGTAACAATTCCAGTAACTGTCCTGTTAAAACCTATGTAAGGTTATTGACAACATTTTAAATAAAATAAAAACTCTTCATATATTCAGGAAGCTCAGCGAACACCATATAGATTCGACCCCAAAAGAAAAACATCAAGGCATATCATA